CGATAGGTAAGTTATACAGACTGAGTATCCTTTAGAGGAAATTCTCAAGACCAGGAGTGTTTCAGATTTCAGATTTTTTTGGACTTTAGAATATTTGTATCATACCAGTTGAACATTCCAAGTCCAAAAATCCAAAATCCAAAATGCTCCAATGAGCATTTCCTTTGAGTGTATGTCAGCATTCAATAAGTTTCAGATTTTTGAGCATTTTGGATTTTCGGACTTGGGATGGTCAACACGCAACATGTTAATAACTACTAACAGTGCTGTGGGACCATGGAAAGGATCTCTGACTCATACTGAGAGGATCTGAAAGACAAAAGGTACTGCTAGAACTGAATTTGAAAGGACAAACAGGTAAGAAGGAGGTGAAGAAGGGTGGGGCTGGGAGTGCACCTGTTAACAGGCATAGGAGTGTGGGGAAGGTGAGGCATGTGGGGAACTGCAGAGCATCCAGGACACACAGAGCATAAGTGCCTGCCCACGTTGAAGAGAGAGAAGCAGCAAGAGATGTACTCTGCGTAGGCTGCCCAGGAGTTGGGCATTTATCCTGAAGGGACCAGAAAACCAACGATGAGTTTTAAGAAATGAAAAAAAGTGGTTAAAGATTTGAAGTTAGGAAAACCCATGCTGGATAGGAGACTAGATAAATTAGACCAAAGAGAGGAGGATAATTACGAGGCTGCAGTAGTAGTATATGTACAAAACAAGTGACTGAACCAAGTCAGAGGCAGTAGGAATAGAGACGAGGAGACAGGTTGGAGACGCTCTGAAAGGAGAACAGCAGGACTTGGTAATTATTAATAGATCTGAGATGTATGCAGTGGAAAGATTTAAGGGTACACTTAGAGATTTGTCTTCATTGGTTTAGTGATATTATTAGCTGAATGTTAAAATGCTGAAGCAGCAGAAGTTGATTTGGGGATGGAGGAAAGAAAGGGAGAAGGGTTCTGTTTGGGAAATGAGTTTGAAGTGCCTATGAGAAACCCACATGGGCTACCCAGTAGGTACTAACATATTTAAACTTGCAGTTCCTGAGACACTTTGACTAGATTTGGTATTCACTATCTTTTAAGATGGGAGATGATGTCAAAAGAGTCAATGAGATCCGAGAGGGTAGTGTGTAGAGTAAGGCCAAATGCCATTTTAAGGTCATGCAGAAGAGGGGCCCTAGAAGGATTAAGAAGGGTAAAAACATTTAGTGAGTACACATTATGTGCTGACCACTGTACTATGTGCTTCACATATAAGAATTCCACCTAGAACTAAATTATTCCTTCTTTAAAAAATTATTAAATTCTCTAATTTATAGATGGGGATATCTAAAATAATTTACCAATGAGGAAACTGAAGTCAAGTTAAGGAGACTGTCCACAGCCATAAGTGAGCAAGTGGAAGAGCTGGGATTTTCTAGGTGTATCTGACTCCAGTGACTTTTGGTTATACAATGCCACTGGGCAGAAAAGTAGGAAGAGGCCGGGTGCGGTGGCTCACGCCTGTAATCCTAGCACTCTGGGAGGCCGAGGCGGGAGGATCGCTTGAGCTCAGGAGTTCGCGACCAGCCTGAGCAAGAGTGAGACCCTGTCTCTACTGTAATTACAAAGAAATTAGCCAAACAACTAAAAAAAAATAGAAAAAATTAGCCGGGCATGGTGGCACGTGCCTGTAGTTCCAATTATAAAAAAAAAAAAAAAAGAAAAGTAGGAAGAGACCTTAGAGTATGGTGGAAATAAGTAGAAAAGAAGATTTCAAGAAGGAAGAGCAAGTTTTTTAACTTCTGGTATGAAGGAATGAGTCTCTAATTACAGATCCTTCTACAAATAACTACAAAAAAATACCAAAAACAAAATAAAACAAACAACCTACTGGAGGGCTCCGGAAACTGAAAAAAAAGCAGATAGTTTCAGAGGAGTGTAGAAACGTACAGTACGCAACCAAAAGCCGTTTTTAGTGGCTTTGCTCTAAAGGTGACTACAATCATGGTAACGGCAAGGCTGAGTAGCTAATAAACTCTGAGAGGGGGAAAAAAATAAGCCATCGTCTTTCAGGCCAAAGGAACAGTGGAAGCTGCTGGAGAGTGAGAGGGGAACCTCGGAAAGAAGAGAGCCAGGAAGAAGAATACCTAATTTTACGTTTAAACTGAGCACCAGTCTTCAGCTAACTCATCAATCATGCATGTGCAGAGCAAACTAAGTGTGGCTTGCAACTAAGGCTTAAAGAAGTGAACTGAGACGGAGGTTTGGCCAACTTGCATGTACGACAGTGCACAGTTTGAGTCTAACCAAGTTAATTGCCTACTAAAACAAAATCACCAACACTCTTAGAAAAAATATAAAAAAAATACTGAGTCTATATAACGTAACATTACCAATGTCCAGGATATATTCGAAATTACTACATATACAAAAATCTAGGAAATTTTATCAATTCTCAGGGGAAAAGATAATCAACAGACGCCGACCCTGAGATGACGCAG